GTTTATCTACTTCATATCGCTCCACTTATTAATATTGTATCTGATATAGAAATATATTCAACTTGCAGGTCTTGAAAAAAAAAAAAAATATACATATAAAATGTAATTGTGACACCTGAAAATGTATCTTTTATTTCATCAAAATAATTCAGTGATCTGTCCACATAAAGTAATTTATGCCATTTTCATCCATTTTTTTAGATGCGCATTAAACATGTTACCTTAAATGTGATTTTCCCAAATGGTGATTTTGTTTCAACAAAATAAAATCACATTTAAAGCAAAGTGTTTCATATTCTTTCAGAGCAACATAAAGCAAATGGACAACAAAACAGCAGCAGCCAAAGGATTCCATATTTTGGCATTTTCATATAATACCGGGATACAACCATTTATTTTTGTTTCATTTTTAATTATCTACTTGATTGGGATTTTGGGGAATTTTATTATAATTACAGTGATTTATTTAGATTCTCATCTCCACAATCCCATGTACTTTTTTCTATGTAACCTGTCCTTGGTAGATCTTTTCTATACCACCGCCATTTTCCCTAAATTGATGCACATAATAATTACTGGTGAAAACACAATATCCTTCACACAGTGCTTCACCCAAATGTATTTTGTATTACTTATGGCTTTCACAGAAATTACATTGCTTTCTCTCATGGCCTATGATCGTTATGTTGCTATTTGTCACCCATTACATTACCCGCTAATCATGGGCAAGAAAAAATGTATTTTGCTTGTAATAAGCAACTGGATATTCGAATGTTGTAATGCTTCATTTTTTACTGTTTCTGCATCGAAGTTAACCTTTTGTCACACTAATAACATACAACATTTTTATTGTGATACAAAAGCTCTGGATAAAATCGCCTGCAATGTTAAAATCTTGTATATTATAATTTGTACAGAAATTCTCTTATATGTGCCTTTTACATTGTTTTTCAATGTGTCATCTTATATTAAAATAGTCAGCAGTATTCTGCACATGAAGTCAACTCAAAGTAGGAAAAAGGCATTCTCCACCTGCACATCCCACCTCATTGTCCTTTTCATGTTTTATGTCAGTGTCTTATGCACATACATGCGACCAACCTCTGAGAACTCAGAGACTCTAGATCAGATATTCTCGGTTCTGTATACTGCTGTGATTCCCATGTTAAACCCTATTATATACAGCTTGAGGAATAATGAGGTAAAAGGTGCTCTGAGGAGAATTATAAGTGTAAAAACAAGGAAATAAACATTTGTATTTGAAATTCTAAAGCACTTGTATAAATGTTATAAATGAGAAGTACACTCTTAAAGTGGAAACGTTTGACATAAAACATTGAAGATGTTCATAATATCTTTGAAATATATATTTGCCCCTCTATCAATTAGAGGCCATCAGCACTAAACATTTTTAGCCCCGGGAAAAAGTCCTGAACAATGGCATTTACTAGTGTCCATATCTAATCAGTGGCACTACACTGCTTAACAATTTGAATAACTACAATGGGGAATCATAGAAATATTAAGGTGGAATTATATTTATTAGCTAGCAACTAGTTTGTGGAAATTGGATGCAATAATGCCAGAAATCCTACACCTTCCCTATACATGTGTAGGGCTAATGTATATCCATATTTGATGCAAATTGTTACCGGCCAGCTGATACTTGCTAAAGTACATGTTACAATTTCTACCAAGTAGTGGTTGTTTAACATCTGCCAATTTCACAAGTGGTGACAAAAAAATACCGTCAGTCACTACTGAGAAATTAGTTACCAACAGCTCTCATTATTCTCTATTGGAAGAACTTGGTGACTGGTTCCAACCCTCTCGCTATTTTTATTGGTTGCCATTAAGCTTTCAAACAGACTAACTGGTAACACGTGTTACTCTGGTAAAATACAAATTGTTTATTGTTAGTTTTATCAACATAGGGCTGGTGTAGAGTATTTATTATCACCACAACATTGACGTTTTTATTCAAGGAAATTGATTTCACTTGAACTGTATATTTTTACTATTCTCTAATACTGTGTGTACTTCTAGTAAATTTAATGGAATCTTTTTTTTTTTTTTGGTAATAATATTAAATCAGCTCAGAAATATTTAACAGTTGACAAGACAATCCAGTTTAGTTGCACATTGTATTGCAGGAGAGAAGAAACAGAAGCATTCACTTAAATTTATTGGAGGTCACCTTTGATATTGAGACATTACTCTAAATCTGTATTTAACAGTAATTATCTACTAGCCATTACACAAATAATCTTCATTGAGTTACAATACTCCCAAATAAATTTATTAAATTCATGATGTTAGTTCATTTTTGAAAGCCAACCAAGCAGAGTATGTTGCCTAAGTCATCAATGTCAGACAGATAGCTTTAAATACATTAACATATTGTGGGAGAATTCTTTTTATTACTTCTGCATTTTTTTACATTTATAATGGATTTTAATTTGAAGAAAGGAAAGAGAAAGGGGATGCTGGTGCACTGCCCAAGGGAATCAACCATGGGGCAGTGGGACAGCAGTACCTAAGTTACTTGTGTCTGTACTTCCCTAAATCAGGGGATAACCCTAGTAGAATAATAACTCAAAGAACAAAAAATAGCTGAAGGGTGCAACGACTCTTAAGAAAGGAAAGACAGTGATAATAAAAACAACCTTTATTAAAAAAAAAAATAGGGGTACTTAAAAGACTAATTACAGGTATTTATAACTATATACAATAACTCAATGGAGGAAAGAATCCTTGCAAATATATAGAAAATAAAAAGGGACAAGCTACTGAAGAGGGACAGTAAGCCAGGATCTAAATGTCAGTAGTTATACTAGGGAGGCTCAAGCAATAAGGCCAAATATGTCCTAAAAAACTCCTCTCTAAACAGAAAGTTTACCAACACTCTAATAACTGAGACAGAACAAGAGAAGGGAATGGGGGAGAGAAAGATACAATGCCCCCCCAATACCTTTCCTTAACAATGTACACTGACTCTAGATACCTAGATTAGTATGTAAATTATCCTCTCTAGTTGAACCATCTCTAATATCAATCAGCTCAATAAGGGTGTGGGCACAGTCCATATCTTATAATGTGAGCCTCAAATGTTTCGCTTTTGCTCTTTTTTGATATGATGGTATTTATGTACGGCTAATTTACATATAAAAAGATTTATATAAACAAATGTATCAAATTGAAGTGTAGGTACAAAAGAAAGCTCTTTTGTCAGAAATTCTATCTGCAATGCAGACAGAAAGCTGTACAAATTATTAACCTTCAGATGTTTGTTGAATTTAAAGTCTGCTTCTCCGATGGCCCCTGGTCCTGGAGGAAAGTTTGGTCCTTGGGCCCTGTATCTCATCTGCTGGATGGAAGCCTAGAAAATTTACTTTCAAGAATACTCTTGGGTATAGAATTAGATACTGTATTCTGTATAGTGGTAGGTGACTCACCTTCGGTAACTGTGGACTTGCACTCAGAGGTACTAATATGATCAGAATATGTTCTCACACTTCTTTTAGGACTTTTATATATCCACTCTGTTTCAAAATCAGAAATGTCTTGGAGAAAATTTTGATATTTTTTAATCTTAATCTGTTGAGAGAATATATCCAGATTTTTCACTTTACCGCTACATTTTCAAATAGTGTATCAGTCTTAAAATTCTATATCTACTCTATTTCTTTAATTAGTTCCTCCTGTATCAAGGAAAGACTCTCTGACTCATATTTACAGATAATATACATAAATGCCTGTGAGCATTTAGCTGCTGCCTGTACCTATTCTTTGAAAAAGGCTCCTTGGTCTGTCTGGAAAGAGGAGCCTGAACTCTCAAACACCTTGTAATTATATTATTTCATTTTTTGGGGTCTTTTGTGGGGCTGAAAAATAGAAGAGTTAAAAGAAAAAACTTCTTAAGGTAATTACAATGTTTTACTTTGCAGGTATTAGTTTTAACAGACAACTAAGGAGGAGGGTAGGGAGGGTGGCCATGTCACTAATTTAGGGGGTGGGGGACAATGGCACTCTCATAACCCTTTGTATAATAATTTAGACCCACCACCCGACATACATGGGTGGGGTCTAAGTGAAAATTAGGTCCCCTCCCAAGTGATTTGTCCACCCACCTACTATTTATTTTAAAGTCTACATAGCGGGACTATGTACTCCCTATTTTGACAGGTTCCATCCATATGGTATAAGGCCTTTCTACCAATGACTGTCCATGCCAGATGGGGGTATAGGGAGTTTTTTTGACCCCTATAGGATTTAAAAAATGTTTTACCTTTTTAACGTGGCTAGCAAGCACTAGTCAACTGCAAAACAAAAAAAGCAAACATTAGTTGCCATGGGTAATAAGTACTGCTCACTCCTTGCAAGTTAAAACAGACTTTTATTCCAAAATGATAATAAAAATATATACTTGGCATATGGTAACATTCAGTGACATTCACAAATACTTGAAAACTGAAGGTCAGTCCCACATTAAACCTCAACCAAAAGAAGAGATGGCATGTCAACTAAACTGTGCTTCTGCATACAGGGAGACAAAAGGTCATGCACAAAAGAGAAAAAACTAAAACCACATCATAACAATAAATATATAACGAGTGACTGATAAAAATATCAATACTATAAATATAGTACAGATTAAATTCATCACAGCTGGAAATCGGATTATCATATCAATACACAATATAAACCACATTGATACTATGAACACAGTTTATACATATTCCTTCAGTTAATATTATTATGGTCTACCCATGTGTTCATATAAAACTTAAATAACCACATTATCAAATGTATAGAGATAACCAAAATGGTAAGCAACTTATAATGTAATCTACATTGATACCATGGATACAAAGCATACGGTGTATACATAATTCTTCAATCAACATACGGTATATATATATGTATATATATATGTAAAAAACAGATAAAATTCTTATCTTGTAATACCTTTTTTATTGGACTAACAGAATTTTTTAATGACAAGCTTTCGGGAGAACCTCCCTTTCTCAATGCTTCAGACTTGAGAAAGGGAGGTTCTCCCGAAAGCTTGTCATTAAAAAATTCTGTTAGTCCAATAAAAAAGGTATTACAAGATAAGAATTTTATCTGTTTTTTACATCTACATCACTGGACTAATACGGCTACAATCTCTACTTGTGTATATATATATATATATATATATATATATATATATATAGATAGATAGATAGATAGATAGTCTACCCATTTATAGATGGCCAGCTTAGATTCAGCTCATTATCATATGAACAGAAATATCAAGGCTGCTAATTGTCTTGTCCCATAAAAAAACTTTTTTTGTTTTTAAATTGTGCCATCATACAGCAACCAACCTTTATATGGGTTGGTGGGAAGAGTCCCACATCTATGGAGATAGTAATTCTTTTCATGGTAAAATAGCTTTGTATTGGAGATATATTGATGACCTGTTATTCGTGTGGATAGGAAGTATCCATTAAGGCGGGCACTCTCGTATTCCAATAGTAAACTGGTAAACTGGCAAAATTAATGTTCACTCAGAATTGGAACAGCAGCAAGTTTTGGAAATCAATCTAGAGAAGAGATGGCACTGGCAGTCACTTTTACATCAGGTCTCCTCCACATTAAATGTGGCCTACCCTAATCCCAATAACTCTTAAAGTGGTATGTTTTATACATTCAGAACAGCAGACAGTTTGGACGTGAACCCAGGGAAAAATTGACAACCAGTCACATTTCTAAAAAGAAAGAACGAAAGATGGTGGCTCCTCTATAATGAATCTGTATTTATTTGTACGCGGGTTGTCCATAAAAAGTCCAGCTATTGTTAGTATTAAGAGAATGATTTGTTTGACACCAATGTAACTTGGCAGCCAAGGAGAGTGGACTGGGACACACACAAACACACACACACACACACACACACATCTTAATTAAACATAGAGAAAAAAAAGATGCACTGAATGCACTGGAACAACATTCAGCACACTCATTCTTGTTGAAAGAAAAAATGATTCTTTCAGTATGTTTTACTCTTTTTTTGTGTGTTCCTGCAAAATAGCTAAACAAACCTGCAGTGCTTTACAGGGCTAAGCTCAACTACACTACATTCATCCTTTTTGATATAATTAAAATTTATCAATAAAATGATAACTAAAATAAAATGTTGGCAAATGGAGAGAATACATCTCCAGTGGTGAAAACTATTTAAAAATATTAATGCTCTCTAAAATCTTTAACAAGCTAGGCAAGCCCAATTGCTATCAGTATCAAGACTGCACACTGTCAGCATCAGAACACAGTTCGACAGTAGACCATCACAATGTTACCTTTAAAAGTTCACTGTCTCAGTGTTCGAAATTATGTCCCTGCAATGTAGTTAAAAAACTGCAGTAAACTGTATGACACTTCCTGCTGTTCATCTAACTCTTTTACATAAAATTAAAATACATTCTCCAGTGGTTAAAACTGAAAACATGACTACTAATGTGTTCAATTTCACTACCTATTCAAATTTCTCTCATTAGTAACTAAGACGACTGCACACTTCCAGAATAACACATGGCTGAATTAAGCACTATCAGCAAGCAATACAGCAACAGGTAGACAGTCCTGACCCTAGCTTAAAGTGGCTGTCTGACTATGTCTAACACACTACACCTTCCTTGATTCCTTTACATCTGCTATGAAACACAATATAACAAAATATGTTGGAGAAAGGAGAAGACAAAATCTCCAGACCACTGGTAAGATTCTCTTTAGTCTGAACTCTATTCACCACCAGCTGCTAGATCAACTTCTCTATTAACTAAAACTGCCATCGAGCAACCAACATGCTGTTCACACTGTCTCAACATGTCAGGCAATCCTCTGTACAAAATCAACATTGGTCCAACATGGATTTTTAATTATTTTTTTCTCACTAAAGGAGTATATTATACATTAATTGTCATATGGTTGAATTTAGGCCCGTGAAGTGACCTGCCAAATTTCCAAACTCCTATGTTGAAATGTGCCAGATTTATGGACCAACTGAATTGCACACTGTTGAACTTTTATTATTAGTTTTATTATTCTTAATTTTGTCCCTAAAGCCCCCACCCAAAAAAGATGATTAATGGGGAAAACTGATGATTGATGGCTAGGGATCAAATGAGAAAAAAAACAAAATCTATATATAATAATTAATATATTAAAATCTTAGTTATTTGTTCTCAATTGATCTGTAAACCAGTCGTTTGCAGCATGTAGATTGACCCATTTTTTTCACCTATTTTATTCTTCAGATTTACTTTCTAAATTAGAGTCTTGGTTTTGATTCTGCCAAAGCGGAACTTACATTCAGATTAAATTTTAGTTCTATTTTTGGATAAAATGGTTTGGCCATGCTGAATTTTCCCTATAGTCTAATCTATATTTAGCTGTTTTGGGATATTTGCTAAATATATAAAAGACATAGTACACATATTAGTTATTTTCCATCCTGGATATACCATATATATACTGATTAGCCACAACAGTAAAACCACTGACAGGTAAAGTGAATAACATTGATTATAGCGCTGCAATGGCACCTGACAAAAGGTGGGGTATATAAAGCAACAAGTGAACATTCAGTTCTTGAATTTCATGTGTTGGAAGCAGCAAAAATGGGCAAGTGAAAAGGTCTGAGTGACTTTGTCAAGAGCCAAATAATGATGGCTTGACAACTGGGTCATATCATCTCCAAACCAGCAAGTTTTGAGGGGTGTTCCCAATACGCAGTGGTTAGTACCTGCTGAAGGGGATGCAAGAAGGACAATTGGTGAACCAGCGTAAGGGTCATGGGTGCCAAAGGCTCAATGATGCACATGGAAAGAGAAGGCTAGCCTGTCCGGTCCATTCACACAGAAGGGCCACAGTAACTAAAACTGCAGAAAATCTTTATGCTGACCACCTATGCTTTATGCTAGCAGGACTTAAGGGATCTGCTGCTGATGTCTTGTCTCGATGCATCAGAGCTGTGTTGGCAGCACAAGAGAGACGTACATGATATTAGGCAGGTAGTTTTAATGTTCAGTGTATATAAAATGTTAATATACTCAGTTTGTGGGTCTTGTTAGGGTTACTGCTGCTATAATACGTTGTTTTGTGTGTGTGAGTGTTTTTTTTTTTAATTCTTTGTGTGTAATATAACACTGCAATGTTTTCTATATTTCACTGTTACTACCTAAGCTGCTAAAGGACTATTGACAAGTTAATACCAATTTCATTTCACCCAAACACAGCAAGAGTGATTTGACTGCAAGCCTGACTTCTAGACAAAGGGAGGCATACCACATTTCATCCATTTAACTTAAATCATCTATAACTATTGTTGCTCCACAGAAATTGATAACAGTGCCATTCAATTAAAGCAGAACTGTCCCCTTCAACACTATATTTTTATAAGGTTCCTTTTATCAAGTTTTGAAAGGAAATGGATTGTTAAAGTATAAATAAACAGTACATTTCTTTCTTTCTTTCTTTCTTTCTTTCTTTCTTTCTTTCTTTCTTTCTTTCTTTCTTACCCCTAAAGCACTGCAGTTTGTAGTTGTTTTGCAAAGACATAAAAATAGATTAAAAAGTTTTAAAAAATTCTAAAAATAATTCTCTAATATAGAATATCAAGGTACAACATTACTCAATTTTATTTTCTTGATTTCATCTATTTTATTTTTATAAGAAAATCATTTTGTAAAATAAAATTGTAGAAGCTTTTATTGATATTTATATTTCTTTACCTTTAGAATTAGTTTTCTTTCTTTTGCTTTCTTACAGGTACCTCTAATGTTGTGGACAGAAAATAAGATTTCTAAAAGAATAATTTAAAACATGATTTTATTTAGACCTGTGCATGGTGAGAAAATTAGTTTTGGCCAAACCATATTTTCATTAAAAAAGTAAATTGTGATGGCTATATGGCAGTTCAGCTCGGCAGAATTTCATTAACTAAAAACTTAGTTTTTAAATAAATATGAACAAAAAAGGTGTGAAAATGGGTTAATCATACATAGTATAAATATAATAAATATTATGTATATATTTTACAGTACACTGATAGCATTTTCCCACCATTTGGTTCGAGGTCAAGGAGAAAAGTAACCAAAAGAGGGAAAAAGAGGAGGAGCAGTAAAAGAAAAGAATCAATAATTCTATATTATTATTAATATTATTGCCATTTATGTAGCACCAAACTGATTCTGTAGCACTTTACAATATTATAAGAGATTTAACTATAAATATGACAATTACAAGAACGATAGGTTGAAGAGGACCCTGCTCAACCTATATAAGGTGGGTTATAAGACACATTAGGACAGGAAATAGCAATCATATAAGGTGGGAGTGAAGCAGAGCTGGAGGAGAGAGTAAAGTGCTGCCCTTTTGAGAGAGCAAGAGACAGGTATGTAAGGTAGAGGTTACTCTGGGAGGCCAGACGTTTTCATAAAGAGATGGGTTTTAAGGCACTTTTTAAACAGTTGAAGACTAGGGGAGAGTCTGATGGCGGTAGGCAGGCCATTCCATAGGAAGGGAGCCACCTGCAAGAAGTCCTGCAATTGTGAGTTGGCTGTACGGGTGCGAGCAGTGGTCAGAAGAATGTCACAGGGAGAGCTAAGAGACCAAGAAGGGGCATACCTAGGGATCTGTGAAGAGATATAAGAGGTGCTATAATTGTTCAATGCTTTATAGGTATATCATTTATTTGTTTATGTATTAAATATCTAACATATAAATACAGATTTTTCACTGCTCCTTCTTTTTTCCCTCTATTGCTTACTTCTCACTTTATCTGTGAATAAACTCAACCTTTAGTGAGTGTCTCCTAGCCATCAACCATATTTTTTTTCACATCAACCAGCTATTTATTTGTTGCCAGGGGTGGATTCAGAATCACGAATCAAAGTGAACATGATCGGCCATTGCATGAGTTGATTTGATGGTCAATGCTACAATTTAGATCTCAGGAATTTAATGATCACCTGACCGACCCAAATTTGGACAAACTGCAGTCCCTAACTTTACAAAGTCTAT